GAGAGAAAGTAACGAGGTGATCTGCATTTAACTGAAAGGGTAAAATACAGAAGGCAAACGTGACACCCAGCCTCCGCAGCAATCTTGAAAACCCTAGAACTCCACCTGAAGGGGTTAGTCTTTCAGGGTTTTTCTGGGAGAGGTTGAGCTACTCACTCAGGGTTTTTGCTGTTTGGGTTGGCAAGGCAAAGCACAGGACTTGGCTGCTATTAACAGACTTGCATAGCTTTGCCAGAGAAGGTCAGTCCACAAGGTCACCCTCACCTTTTCTCTGTTGCTTCACATGATGATAATGCCTGAAGCAATTCCTGTATCCCCTGCCCCACAAAAAAATCTTTGTAACCAAGGTGTTCACAGGAAGACACCTTTTCCAAAACTCGAAGGGAAGGGAAGGGAAGGGAAGGGAAGGGAAGGGAAGGGAAGGGAAGGGAGCCATCTGAAACCAGAAATGCTCAGCCACTTTAAATACAGAGTGTGTGTAGTTTTCCTGTATCCCAGTACAGTTCATACCCCTGCCTGTGGCTGATCCCAGAGTCTTGACCCAGCTAAAGATTTTAATTTCACTACAGACAAGTGTACTGAATATTTAGGCACTGCTGGCATCACCAAAGACTTTCTTCAGGACTTTCTTAATAAAAACAGTCCCATACTTGCCTCCGTTTCTGCTACCAGACATGAGCAGACCTCTCAGTCTGAGCAAGTGATGAGCTTCCTGGTACAGGCCATCCTCTTACCTGTTTAGCAAACAGGACCAATCTAGCAGATGCTTCTCTGGATATATCATTTCAGGTTGAGGGAAGGCAGAAAGAATAATACTAGTAGTATTATCCAAGTGGTAGTGTTATCCACATCAACAGAGATTAGAACAGCTAGCTGGCATGAACGAAAATCCAGGTTCAGATCTCTAGGGAAGGTAACATAAGCATAACCCAAATTTTCCATTGCAGTGCTATGCATAATGAATATTTAAAGCAGAACCACTGCAGTGGCAGACAGGAAGGGCATGTAACTTCTGAAAACTTAAGTCCAGCCTCCCTCCAGCATCCAGTGATGAACTCAGTTGTTTTTTCCCTTTTAGCCTGCTAGCTTTGGCTGGGAAGCATCTGAGCTTCCCCTTAGAGAAAAAGAGTCATATGTTATTTGTGGATTTGCCAAAAGTGAACCTGGGTTAGAAAGATGAGGGGAAGTCTGTCGTGAAACTCAGCAATAGAGATCATATCGGTCAGCAAAGATGCTGACTCCAGCAAGAAATCTGTCTGCAACCCATCATTTCTACCACCCCGGGCAGGAAAATGCATTTGCACAGGGAATGCTTTTTGCTTTGGCTGGAGCACATATGCAGCGGAGCACGTCATGTGACACAGGAGAGACCTTCTGTGGGTTAACTAGGATGGATTGTGGTAGTTCCAATCCCAGAACATCTCCTAATCCCACCCCACAACCTGCTGTGCTAGGTATCATGCAAAAGAGCCAGAATTTCTGTCTCGCTTCTGGGGTTTACACCATCCCTGGCAAGAGCATCACAGCCACAGATAACAAACAAGGAAGGCAATCAGCTTTAGTGTTTTCTGCTTCGTTCTCACCCTTCTCTCACACTACAACGCCCCAGCTGTGAACTTTTAACCCTGAACTCGTTCCAGATTGTGAGCCTTTACAGCAGACAAGTCAGAGGCAGTAAATCCACTTTTCAGACGATGGTGTCTGCTGAGCTATTCCCCTTGGCGCCTCGCTGCAATTCACTTTCTGTCCACCTGCTGCTTTTCGGTCTGCTCAAATGTGTGTATTGGTAGTGTTAGCACACTGCTTACCTGTGGGTATAAGAAGAGGGACACCATGCAATGCTATGAAAAGACTCAAGGATGCCTCCATATGCCTCATGAGCATAGTTTTCTAGAAATACTGGGCTTGCCAGCATCTTCTGAGAGCTGAAAGTAATCTGGTCGGTCTTCTGAGAACTGCAGCAAAGGTAAGTATCGGATAAGTAAAATGTTGTCTGGGTTTGGATGAAGGCCCCACACTGCTTTTCGCTATTTGCTGCCTCCTGCTTACTCACTGGAGCGAGGGACACTGCGACCACTAACCAGGGCAGAGCTCCTTTGAGCAATGTGTGTGCACATGGACAGTGGGATCTTCTTAACTGATGCTTTAGCTGCTCCAGGGAGCGGCAGCCGGGGCAGGTCTCTCTCACTACCTGGAGCCCCAGCTCTCAGAGGATGATGTTTGGCTGGGATGGCAGCTCCCAGTCACTAACACAGGCTGCACCAGGTCCTTTAAAAATAAACCTCAGCACCCACCTGCACAGGGATAAACTGTCATTGCAACCTTAATGCACAGTGAAACCAGCTCATTTTAAAATCAAGCTTGCCGCTATACCAAATAGTGTGATGCTGACTCGGGTAGGTATACCGGAAGAAAAATCCCGAGGGACATTTCTTGTTTTAACAGCAAACCTTTCTGTCTTTTACAGTAACATCCCAAATTTTGCACCAGAGGGTCCTACAGACAATGATGTCTTGTGAGAGATTAATGTAAAACGAAGGCATGGCCAGTTGCCTTCCCTCACAACTTCCCTTCAGCTTCCACACACACACCAAATGCACGTGCTTCTCTGCTACTCATTTAGTCATCACAGATTGAAAAAAGATGGCAAGGTGAAGACTGGCTGAACCAGTAGTAGAGCTTTGTTAATTCGTGCCAGGCAGCAGCAGTGGCAGTAGCCTGGTGCTCAGCCTTGCTGATTGCTCTTAGAGAAACCAAAGCCATCATTCCAGTGAGGAGGTTACCACAGATCCCCACCGTAAAAGAAGTAGATTGCTCTTAAAATCTAACTGATGCAGATGACAAATGTAAGAATGACTAAATAAGAAACAGCTCACTTGGCTGATTTCCTATGCTGGCCCCTGCTGCTATTGAAAAAAAATAAAATAATCTCTCTTAACAGCCCAGAGATAAATAAAAAACAGCTGAATATCTTTTCATAGATGGCTAGTTTATGCATTCCCATTCAAAACTGTTTTGCTGTTGGCTCCACTTTTGGCATTAAACTGGCTCTGAGGTACCAAACTGAGGATAAGGAACACATGTGGGTTAGGGCTTCTAAACCTTCAGCTGGAAAACCACCCTCACAAATACAGAATTTGCACCTCGCTAAAATCAAAGACTGTTATTCAAGCAGAGAAGATAAAAAATATGACTTCCATAAGCTACAGCTCAACCAATGGCAAACTGCTGTACACTGGCAGTCAGTGTCTAGTATATTCAAAATGAAATCAAACACAGTTTTTCAGAGACAAGGTCTAGCTAGCAAACCTGCTTCAGAAACCAATCAACTTTATAATAAAGCAGCAGCCTCCAATGTGTGGGAGGGTACAACGCCTCACAATTTTTTTTCCATAAGAAAAAGGTGTTGGAGAAAGACGAAAGGAGAACAACAGGTTTGGAATTTTTGAGTAAGTTCTTGCCTCTCCCCCACAAATCATTCCCCTTTGGGGACATCTGGTGTGATCAGAAAGAGTGGATGTTCTTTAAGGATATCTTAGATTTACAATCCAGAAACACATCAAGTATTTCCCGAATCCTTTGAAGAAGGGAAACAAAGGTAACTCGCTTCCACCTTCTCTGTCTTTTGTTTCACACGTACGTGTCCAAACAGAGGTAGAGTTTGCAATGCATGATTGAAAGTTTGAAGTTTATTAGGAAAATACTTGATCTTTGATAGCATTGCATATTTCAGACATCCGGTTAAAATGCTTTTAATCACTTTCATTCAAATTCATGATTTGTAATACCTTCTTCACGTGATCTTTCCAGTTAACGTGCCTGTACACACAGAAGGAGCACCCGTAATGGCAGGGGATCTTACTGAGCAGCAGAGAGTCTGTCCAGGAAGTATCACCTCTTTGTATTGGAAAGTCACAGAAGCAATGCCACAGCTTTACAGCTTCAGCAGATGTCCTGAGTTCCCTTTCTTTCCATTTGGGATTTGTGGAGGATGGAAATCGAGAAGTCATCAGCTAAATGGGCCATAAACCAAGCCTCTAGATCATGAATAGTTTCCTCTACTCTAAATATTGCGCTGTTATTCCTTCCACTGCCACACATACAGATTCAAGAACCCGAATCAGATCACTTGCTTTCAACAGCAGCAGGGCCAGTTCAGTCTATGGAGAAATCCCTGAGCTTGCACATAGTATCGAGCTCCTTTTGAATAAGGAGGAAAACTGGCAAAGTAGGGTAAATTTTAAATCTCTTGGACAACAGAGCTCTCACAGTGTTTGTATCTTCTGCACTAGTGGACAAAATAACGCTATAAAAGTCAACAACTTTTGTGCTGTGCTTTGAAGGGATTTGAAACAAAAATGTTCAAAGGAAAAGAAACTGAAGGTAGATCAAGTCTATCTTCTTGGGAGAATGGGGAAGACATTGGACTAAAAAGCCCTCACTAGCTTTACTCAGTCCCTTTCAGAAGTATCACATGGCATTGATACTTTGGAAAATCTAATCAGAGGAGAGGGGGCAGACAGGAAACTGATAGCAGTATGTGGGTATGTCTTCTAACAAGGGACTGTGAAACTGGTAACAGATGGTTCCATTCTGAACCACGCAAAACTGGCAACGCTTGTCTCGGTTGGTGGTTTATCACAGTATGACAATCTTGATTGTACGCATCAATATTTTCCTCCAGTCTTCACCTTACTATCCATGCGTAAGCACAGCAGCAAGCATCTCTACTCGAAGGGGTACCTAAAATCACTGTCTGTGGGGCTGAATGCTGTGGGGAAATTTGAGGTGTCTTCATATCCACTGAAGAACACTTCTACATCAATACCACTTAAGAAAGGGCAATTGTACCCATCAGACTTAGTCATGCAACAGTTCAAACTTCCACGGAAAAAATAAAAGTACATAGCCACTAATCATTCTGGCATCAGATTGTGGTAAGGTCCTGTGTGTTCCTTAATTGAAGGCTCCTGCGCTCTGAAGAATGAATTCAGGTATAATTACTCTACTTCTTCCTGATCCAGTGAAGTCAAAGCTTTCTCCTGTAACACAGAAAGAAAACTTAAAATTATAAAAGAAATTATGGCCCTCATCCTAATGTTAGCTCTGCTGAGGTCAGTTAGTAGGTTTGCCGGTAAGATTTCCTGACCTCACATGCTCTCTATTCCAGTGGACACAGGCTGTACAGCTGCTGAATGCTTCCATTCATTTTATGAAGCACACAAGGACGAGGATCTCTGATGCAAGTGCCTCCCAGCAAATCCAGGTACGTGAGCTATGAAGGGTGGCAGCTCAGCACCTCTGCCGGCAGAAGAGCACCTTGCATGGCTGACTTGGAAAGGGGAGTATGAAGATAAACAGATACCTTTGTGCATGGGGAAAGTGGAAGCATGCCACACCATAACGTGTGATCAGACTGTATGAACTGCTGAACTCCTGCACTGTCCCCAGAACCTGCCAACAGCACATAGCTAAGCGAAAGTGTAGGATTAGGGCGAGCGTGAAGTTTCCTGGTGTTTCTCCCAGCCTTCAGCTATTTGTAGTGAAGAGACTGTCTGTGCTGGGAATGGTGTTTTTCACTTAACAACTCTCCATGAATGCCTCCTATTGATTTTTGGACCTACCTAAGTAAAAAGCTTGCAGCATAGAAGATGTCTTGTAGCAAGTAATTCCACAACTGGACTACACACTGTGTTAAAGAATATGGAGTTTGGTTTGGTTTGCATGTGGCCCATATTAGTTCTGTGAAAGTGTGCTGCTTCAAGGTGCCTTAGGCTATTGACAAGTCAAGGGAGGCAAAATGCATACCCAGCCACCCTGGTTCTGAATCCATGGCTTGAAGTTTTCTCTGAGGTACTTTAATCCGAAGCCCAAGACCAGATTCATAGGATGGTTGTCCACAGCGGTAAGTCTGGTGGCAACTTCCATTGTAAAGGCAACTTTCATGCATTGCACTTGCTCTCCTGGCTCACTTGTTGAATCTGCTGTGACATTCTCCAGGAATAGATCAGTGATCCTCTTGAAGAAGGTATAGGACAGCATGTCTCTAAAGCATTGATTGAAAACACCATCTTTTTTGATCTGAAGATAAGAATAAAGACTGGTTAAACTGAGCCACTTTTGCTGGAATTTCTTTCCCCATCCCACTGGGGAAGGAGAGAATCTCTAGGTAATACGTGCAATATAGTCTAGTCATGGTAATGAATGCAAAAGATGACACACAAACCCCACACTCGGCTGCAAGACTGTTCCTTCAGGCTCTGGAGGCAGCTCTATGTTTTTTGCCTTTGAGTGAGAGAAGCAGAGAGAGAGAGAAAACAAGTGTGACACTGATGTTGAGACCTGCAGGTGAGGAGCCATGGGAATGCAGGAGGAGTGAGAGGACAACACAAAAGGCCAAGGTTATGGTGATATCCACCATACTAAGCTTCATTTCCTCGGTCATGACCTTTGTGATGTTTCTTACTGTATCTGGGCACCTCTCTACTGCAGGAGCTCCACGTGGGAGTATACCTTTGTAGAGTAGAAGGGGCAGCTAAAGAAGAGAGTAAGGGAACAAGTATCTATGTTTTAAACAGAGAAAACATCCACTCCAACTAAAGGACTCATACAGGGGGTTCTTCTGTAGCTTTTGGGCAAGGCTTTCAAAAGGCACTCAGAAAATTTATTTCCATTTCACAAAGCTGCAGAGTTTCCCTCCCTCCACTGGGAGCAACTTACATTCTTAGTGTCAGTCAGGTGCTCAATATCTCACAAAACTCAACAGGAATGATGTGAGTGACTCCTCTTTGAAATGCACCACCTTTTTATTGCCTTCTTCCTCCACCCCAATAGAGATCTCCACTACTCCTCTGGTCTTGGGAAAGATTTCAGGATGAATGGTGAAGGTTTCAGAAAACCCTCAGTGCAGAAAGGGAAATTCAAGATAAAGACAGAGCGTGCCAGGTTACAAAACACTCACATCCAGGAGAAGCGTAATCTCTCTCACGCGCTAATCTGTGTAGCTCCTGAGAACAGGACGAGTTACCTTTTTTTCTAGCTGGTCCCCTGACTGTTTTAACAGTGAAACTATCGTTTGTATTATCACTTCTTCCTCTGTTAAAGAAAAAAAGTAACATAAATATCGCAGGCTTCTAATTGGATCCAGATAGCAAACTATGGCAATCGTGAAACGTGAAATGATTGACAGTCATGAAAACAGTTTGCTGGTTCATGGCAAATTCATAGTTGTGTATCCGGGCTCACTGTTCTAGTCTGATGTGGAGTAGGCAATACCATTTCTCTATCTGACCAGTGTTTTGCTCCAGTTAAGAATCTGAGAAAGAGCAGGGGCTTTAACTTCCCATTGCCAGCCCTTTGGGCTTTGAGGTATGTCTGATAACATGCTAGAACAAAAGAGCAACTAGTGGAAGCCTATGAAAATGGACTTAAAATTAGGGAGACAAAAAAAAAGTCCCCATTATTAAGTCGCCATTATTAAGTCACCATTATTAAGTAGGCTTTCTGCAACTCATTTTAGGACAAACTCTGGGTTTGCCAGGTTAAAGAAAATGCAGGTCTGGCAGAGTCTCTCTTGTAACCAGAAATCCCTAGAAAGCTTGCATTAAAACCAAGTCTCCGCAGACATCATAGGAGAAAAGCAGTTCAGACTTTTAACAAAGATTGTTGAGCCATGCTGTCCCATCACTGAAGAGGGATTGACATAATTGCCCTGATGACTGGTCTTTGGCCTCAGAGCCCCTCATCCTCCTGTTCTCATGTCACACCTTCTTGGATTTTTAAGGATGCTCCTTTTAATTGCGGTAGCAGGCAGGATTTGTCAGAGGACTGCAGGAGCAGTCCCTGAAATGTGGGCAACAGAGCAAGAACCAGTAGAGGAAAATTCCTTCCTCACAGCATCTTATTGCACAAGTCCCAAGTGCTTCACCACGTCTAGAGAAAATGCCTCAGAAAATGCAATCTCAACCTGATGTGCAGCTTGCAAGCATGAAATTTTTCACCCTTACCAAGTTTCTTGCCTTCGCTTCCATATGCAGAATCCCTGCTGCCTTGTTTCCGAGCCAGGCCTTGAAACATTATCTTGTGGGACACATCTGAAGGAGGTTCCTTGGATCTAGAAGTAACAAGCCTGGCAAGTTTGTCTGCAATGTGGTTGACATCTGCTGTTTCACCTGATTGGGAAGGAGGGTGGGAAATAAAGACAGCAATTATTCTTTCCAGGAAATAATTCAGTGATTTACTTGTTTGCATACGCCCTGCGGTGGAAGTGCCCAGAGGATGCCAAGCTATACATTTCCCTGTGCTGGGGCTTTGCTATTGCTTGAGATCAGCTGGTAGTAATTCAGAGGAACAAGTAGTGCAGTACACCTCTACTCCTGTCTCTGGGCAGCAGTTCGCTATACAGAGACCATGGAGAAGCAAGTGTGAGCATTACTCACTAGCATACATCCTTGCAAGCCAGAAGCACACCATGTATTAAGAAATGTGAGGATATCGCTCTACAGGACTGTGAATCTTAGATCTTATTGCCCATGAATAGCTAGTCTGTAGGCTCATATTTAGAAAAAATGGTATATCTGAATGCTCTTTCCTCGTTCTCACAGGTTAATCCTGAGCAAAGGAGAAGCAGACCTCACTGCAGAGGTACCTCTAGAACAAAAGCTTCTTACGTTCTTGACACTATTTTATTAAGTAGACATGGATATTGGGACAACTCAGTAACCAGACTGGTTTTATCCACCTTGTGTAATGCCTCTGTTCAGGACCCTCCCCAGCTGAAGGCACCACTCAGCGAGGGGACACCAACAGGAATCCTGCTATAGCAAAGAAAGCAGGAAGAGCTGTTGCAAGGTTTGTTTCATCTAAAAGTTGCTCTTACAATTCATCTCACAGAGCTTGGGATTCAAAACTTGATCTCACCACAGCCACTGCCAAGTGGCAGAGCCAGTGTGACCAGCAGACATCTAGACGAGCTCAGCAATGGCCTGATCCATAACATGTGTAAAATGCATGAGGGCAGCAGGGGTTAATGCAGACAATTAAAACTGCATTTTGAGGCTGGTGAATCAACCCCAAGGTATTTCCATCCCGTCGTCTGCCTGCAGAGCTTGTCAGGGAGCTGCTAAGCTTCTAGGAAGGGAATTGGGCTGTTCATGACATTGGTAGCCTAAGATTAGGCAACTGGTTTTAAGTTTAACAGGCCCTTAATTTAGACTGGTAATCCCCAAAAGCACCCTCATTTGCTCCAGCATTGCCTGGCCAAGCTTGCAGTGCAGCTGCTAGCAGTCTAAGTGAAAAATTAAAAATAAAAATAAAAATAATGTTTTAGGAATTGGTCCAGCAATCTGCTGAAGGGCACATAAGGCCTAGATTTGAAGCCAAGCAAGATCCTCAGGCAAGTTAACACCCAGCATGGGGAGGTTTTATCTCAAGGCCGTGCTGCAGGGAACATGCAGATTGCACCCAAACTCTCGAGTGCTTTCCTTGGCAATGTGAAAATAAAATGGACACAGAAACAGATATCTAGATGCAGACATATATTTGTGGCAAGTTAAGGTTACTTCCCCCTAGCAAAAGGCTGAGAGAGGGAGCCTTTCTTGAGAGATAGAGCTGGATTTGGCAGCAGGGAGAGTTATGAGCTTGGTGGGCAGGAGTTGGCCCAAGATGGTTAAACTGATCAGGGATGGGGCAGTAGGTTGGAGAAGTCAGTGGTGGATAATTTTTAGAAATACCTTTAAATGCAGTAAATGCAGAGAGCAATTGCTGTGACTCCACCAGTATCAAGCTGGGACAAATGAAACAAACAACCCCTTACTGTATCTATACGGAAACAATATGGCAGCCTGTCACATACTACATATGGCAACTTAGTGGAGGTATCTTAATGGGGATCCTTCTCTTGAAGACTTGTGTAAGAAGTTAAGGTAATAGTTATTATCCAGAGCAGAAAGTGTAAAATCTCATTGCCAGCAGTGTAGCACCTGATGTGGGGCTGGGTTTGGGGGCTGGGTTTATGTGGATGGGATCCCTGGATGTCAGATGGATTACAGCCACCTACTGCCTCTTCTTCCAGCACACGGGAGGGCAGGTTCAGACTTAATATAATAACAACGTGTAAAGGAGACTTAAATAACTATGGAAGACTGTTTCCGTTTAAGATACATGGTGGGGTTATGAGAGGCGGCCCAGAGACACAGCCTCCTTGTGCTGGCGGCTGGTCATTGCCAATTGCTTGGCACCAGAGTTTCAAGCAGAATCTACCATTTCTGTCTTTAGTGTGAAATATTTATTGCACCATAAAGCTTCCTGAACAGGCTTTCAAACATCTTTTCTTCCTTGATTTTAGTGTGGCTGTCTTCAGTCTGACCAGCATTTTACGTTTTCATTCTAACAAGGTATGAAAAAGAAAAAGCCAATGCTCAGGGAAAAAAAAAATTAACCTATGCATTTATACGATACTTACCACCATAAAAGAGAAAACAGAAAAAGACAGTCAACAACATGAATCTTGTATGTAAGCAGATCTATCAATCTGCCTTCCTAATTAGAAATCCAGGGAGCTAGCATAAGAGGTAACCAAAAAGTGAATGAAACCACTTTCCTTGTCCTGCCTTTCCACAGGCCACCAGCCATTTAAGGTATTTAGAGAGAGATATAAAGACAAACAGCAAAAGGAAAGAGTTAAGACATACTTGTCTGATGCTGAAATTTACCTTGGAAAATGAAATCACCTTGTGCCTGAGAAACATCGAAAGGCGACACACGACCTCCCTCAGATTGCACTATTGAGGGCTTTTCCTGCTCTGCTGTGTTGTAGAAAAAACTTAGAAAATATTCCGTCATGGATTTTGGCTTTTGTTCAGTTTTGCCCTGGTTTTGCAACCTGCCACACTGCAAAACAAACTCGTTGCTTGGACCATCTTTATCTCTTTGGTCATCAATATTTACTTTTCTCCTGTTGGAGGATGATGATTTCTGCACATTAGCCTCGTTTTTCAGAAGTTTCCTATATTCACGGGCAGACAACCGCCGTTGGGCGTAGGCCATCAGGATCTTATATTCTATGCTGTCTCGCTCATCATCTTCCAGCAATATTTCTTCCATACTGACATCATTTGGAGAAGACATCTTGATTCCTGCAAGAACACGCAAGTTTTAATTGCTTACGAGCAGCCTGGTTTTTTATGAATACCAACCAGTACTTGACATTTCTACAGAACCTTTCACCAAACACCTTATAAATCTCAGTGACGTGAACAATAGTGCAGTACTCAGAAGCCATAGAATCGTTGTTTTCTAGCAAGAGATTCTGGTTACTGAGATATACTTCAGATGATGATCAAGGTCATCAAAGAATGGTAACAAGAGACCTGATACATTGCTCTTAACTGCATTTCATGGCTTAGGCAGGAAAGATCAGGGAATTCAATGAGTATTTGATGGTCAGGGGGCGGTGTATGAAAAGAGGAAAGCCCCTAACAATAGTAACTGATTATTGGAGTGGAAAGAAAAACAAGAACTAGCCCAAACATTAGGAAATATTATGATATCTACCTATCATAATTTTCTCAACTGTCCTTTCACTTTAGCTTGCCCCTAACAATAGTAACTGATTATTGGAGTGGAAAGAAAAACAAGAACTAGCCCAAACATTAGGAAGTATTATGATATCTACCTATCACTTTAGGCAACCCAGGTTGACAGTCCTGTGTGTTTGACTGCGTGCAGTGGCCGCTGTGGTGGTGTTTACCTAGTGTAACTTCTTCCTGTCCAAATAAACGTATCAGTTCCACAGCACACATATGCATTTTGCCATCTTCCTCTTTCGCTACTTGCTGTGGCTTATCAAGCCACAAAGTGAAACACTCTCAAGGCTTCACTTAGCACTAGACCCATTTGCCACCCAGCCTCCTGGAAGCCAGAGCAACAAGGGAAAGAAATGGGAGCAATCAGCTGTGATTACAGTGACTGAGCTTCTGTGTTATTGTTGGGTTTCTTGTTCCCAAGATGTCTTCTGCAGAGCCCAGGTGAGGTTTTAGTTGTTTGGACAGGCAGCCCTGACCACCAACAGTGGGCTCTTTGCGAGGCCTCTGTTCAATGACTCATGCAAAAGTTGAATGAAATTATGAATGTATCCGAAACTTGTCGCTGTGGTCTTTGTGGCTGACAAGCTGAAATAGGAGACTTCTGTCCCCACTTCTGCCCTCTCTTCAACAAGGAGCAAATTCACTCAGACTAAGCCCTCAGCCTGACAGACACAAATTTAAGCTATTTAAGCTAGTTCCTTCCTGTTTGGAATATCATTCAACTATTCGCTGCTTCGAATGTAACACTATTGCTGATACATATCTAACAGGACCTATAAACCCTAGGCATGGAGACTCACATTTGGGACTTAGCCATACAACACACACACCCTGAGTCCAAAGGAAAGTCAGTGGGAATGGAGTGTGTGAAGAGACCTGGATATCCTTATTCTTCACAGGGATATTGTGAGTGCGAGAAAGGGGAAAAATGGGGAAAACCCCTCAGCATATCTACTGGCAGAGAGAGATTACTTTCTTATCTCTCAGGGACTTGCTATGTTAAGTCACTCCTGAGTGAGTCAAAGTGTAATTTCCCAATTATGCTCAAGCTGAGCTGTTGACACACCACCAGCCCACGCCTCCAACAGCCTGTATGAAATTTTCTTCCCAGTGCAAGCCTGGCTGTCAGCTTGCTCAGTTTTCTGATAGCAGTGTGCTGCAGTTTAATGTTTAGAAATCTATACTCCATGTGGCAAAACATCTCACTACTCTTAGACGAGAATTTATCCCAAGAGCACCCAAGGTACAAGCAGCTATGTTGTCTTCCAATAGCCTCCTGGGCTTCAGGAGAAGTCCTGTCCTGTGAAGGGCCCAGTATTGCACTGAGACCTCTTGCTCACAAGGTCATGCCAAGGTGAATCCCTGTTTGCTGGACGTGACCAGGGCAGTTTGGAGGCTGGGGAAGAAGGTGCAAGTTCCCCTTCTCTTCCTCGTTGCTGCCTTGAGATATTCAAAGGGTCAGCAGCAGCTTTGCATCTTCTCACAGTGTTCGTGCAGGCGGCTTTAATGAACCTGCAAGGGAAACTGAGAGCCCAGCAGGAAAATGTCGGCAACAGACCGTTACGAAAAACAAATTGAGTGTAGAAAAGAAGTGGGAGCTAGAAATACAGAGAAAACAAAGGAGAACTGAAATGATGCACGACAGGCACAGGGCTGCCGCTTCTTCGTTGCTGTGCTGAGCATAGGAGCACTGATGTGTGCACCGCACGGGAGTAAAGGTAAGACCTTTTCTGTGCCCTATGATTGTTTGAGCCCATCTGCCAGTGCAAACCAGAGCAGCTGAAAGAGT